CTTGGTCGCTTTCTTTCGATGTGTTGGCATCTTATTGAGAGCTTTTTGCCAATATCTGTCTATGTTCTTCTGTCGTGTTAACGAGTGTGAATCAATTACAATGCATTGAAAATCAATTCATTGTTGTTCATTACATTGCATTCATTTCGTTCCACTCCATGATCACTGAATCACAAGTATCTAATATCGCGAAAATCTATAGACTAAGTATGATTAACATCATATAGAAAATATCATCAAACTCGAACGAATGTTCAAGCATTGATTTTCTCTAGGGCATTTCCTATTTTTTTGCTGTGACAAGAACATTTAAAAATTTATCATAATGTGAACAGAAGCTTTTCCGTAAGTTTTCTTAGTTTGCAAAAATGTATACATTGAAAAATGAAGACAATGATGGTGAAGAACATATTGATAAGAAATGAAAGAAAGATATTACCGAAACTTGAATTTGGAATAAAAAAGTTTAAAAGCATAGACTTCATGTTTCTATATGCGTATGCTCCTACTCGGCTACGTCAATAGAGTCGAACCCGAAAAGGAATTCATTGGCGATCTGTATCTCCTAGTTGGTTATGGTGACCTAAAAAAAGAAGCCGACGATTATTCAGAAACATACAGAAAGAAAGTTAGTGAATAACATAGTATTCAGCTTTTCTCTTTAAGATTCGAAGGCAATAAGATATCAGCATGGGATGCTATGCCAAAAATTTTCATCATAATCAACAATGGTAACACAGAGAGTATTGATAGATGAACTGTGTCATCGTTTCTAAGCAAAGAACTCGAAATACTACAATATGTCATGAAAAAATATTTAGAAATAAGAAGAATATCCTCTACTAACCTTAGTGAAACTATCACATAATATCATTTTTTAAATGAGACATGAATGCTGTCTTTTAACAAGAAGATCTTCATGTACTATTGGAGTCTTTGAAGTTCTACAAACAACTCTAGACAAGGAGACGATCGAGAAGACTACATATACGGTAAAATCAATTTACAAGACAGATAACTATGAAACATTTGTAAAAGTCATAATTTATCGACATTAAATACCATTTTGCATGATAAGGTCATTGACGAGAACATTTAACATAGTGTGAACAACACGATGTTTTCACGACTGCTGATTCTTAACTTAGGTTTTTTACAGCTGAATGTCAAAAAGAAAAAGTCAACGCTTACGCTTTTAAAATAGAAAGAAAAGATAGATATCAATGATAACACAATCATTAGAGCAATATTGATTGATAGAGAATGACGAGAGTTAGAACAAATATTTTCAGCAGTATCACATATCCACGACATCGGCGACCCAGCAGATGCAAAACGATATAGACGATAAACAATGGTACTTATCAACGATAGGTAGTTTCGCATATCTCACATCTCACTAGGTATATCCTACATTCCTCAATTCCTGGATATATAATACCTTTTACTGATGTGAACAGAAGAGCAATACTTCTGAGCTTCAAACAGTTGTTTTTGAATAAGAAAAGAGAATAAAGAACTCTCTCTTATAATGTTTGAAGTATAGAAAAACCTTTGTTCTAATAACGAACATTTAGTTTCATTATAAGATTACACGTACAACGCAGCGGGAGCAAAATCTTAGTATTCAACGAAAATTGATATTTGATGGGAAGAAAGAGTTAAACAGTATCAAATATTGCTTGTTAACAAAGAAACGTTACAGTAGCTTAAATCTTTTAGCTGTAAAGAGTAATACTTGGTAGAAGAAAGATCACAGCTAGATAGTATTCAATTTGTTTAAGTAAGATTTATATGTTGAAAAGTTTGAAGGTCAGTTACACTGACTGAAATTTGCGTGTGAGTGAAGAAAAGATGGAAAGAGAAACTCGATACCCTACAGTCGCTGCCTTTTGCTTTTCTCTTGATTTTTCTACGACATCAAATGTGGTGTGTTTTTTCTTGTTGACTCTCAACGGCAAACTTCACCGAGTTTCAATTGAAGAATAAGATTGTGAATAACAAATGAAAGAGAAAAAACTCAACAACGTCATTTATTCTATTAATATTTCAATTTTAGTTTACCTTTCAGTTGTACAATGACTTGAGTATTACTACGTTGAATATCTCGTTTCATACATTGTGGAGTTTTCTTTGATTCTCTCGAAGCAAATTTTTTTCTCATTCATCAAGATTAATTAGAATTGTTTATTTTTGACCTACAACTCATTTGTTTCAAACACAATCAGGTGAATTTGAGTGACTCTACAGTGACAATGAAACTCCAAATAAACGAAATAACCTATTTTTAGTAATAAGAACGCTTCTAAATATAATATTGAACTATTTATTATTAGATACACTCACAGAGTTAGTAGTAATGGCCTATATTATCGATTCTTCTAGACAACAAAGTATAGGCAACAAAATAAAATAGAATTTATTTTTACTTCGAGTCCAGCCAGTCATTCAAGAATCTACTGAAACATCAATGACTCCAATTAGGTTGTGCACGTAATCCTTTGTCATCTGTGCACAATGATCCGCTGAGCCATAAGATAATGATGCGAAAATGCGTATATAAGATCGTTCAAGCAGAATGTCTGCATGATGAAAAAATCTTTCTGCAATATACAATGCTGATTTTTCTTCAATTGTTCAGATAGTGAACGGAAAAATCAGTTAAATAGTGATATATCGTAATAGATGATGGTGGTCAAAATCATTATCATATTCTTTTTTCCATAAGATTTTGAGTGTTTGATAGAGGAATAGAAACCATTTGATTGCAATTTAGAATAGTTGTACAAATTCAGAGGGCAGATAATGTTAGAGCATACTTTAGTTGACTGACACACAACAAACTCAACGCATACATTTCAAGAGTGTTTAAAATATTTATGATGGCAGAAAGAAAGAGTATCTAATGTACGTATCGCTAAAATTTTTGATTAGATAAGGGATATTGATGTATCTTTATCATTTCGAAGTAATTGACGAACATAATGAAGCAGCAAATGCATTTGCATGTGCTGCATCATAGATCTGAAAGTCAAGGGTCAATTGTCTTTTATATCGTAGTTATTTGTTTAAAATCATTAGGGAGTGATTTCTAATTGATCTTTGGCGGTTTGATTATAATACTTCTGATAATCGTTTTGGACAACACTTATGTTTTTGTAGGGCTTGGTGGAAAGACGAAAATAGTTTTATCACATTACAATGAAGTTTGTCATTGTTTGTTTACATTACGATAATCTATTAAGAACAATATCTATAATTTATCATCCATTAATAGATCTTGTTTATCGAGATTTAAGATGTGTTGTTGAAATTATTTGAAAGCATTTAATCATAAGACAGAGTTTTTAATTCGACGCTCATTTGTAGAATATGTAATTGAGTGATAATCTTCAATAGAACAATTAGCCGATAGACAATTAAATTCAAACAATCAAGAATATTTTCCTGAACCTTATTGAAATGAGAAAAATTCAATAAATTATTCTTATCAAGTAATATTAGTAGTGAACCCATGACAACATATATGTATCCGAGTCAACATTGACTGATCAATTGATGATAAATGATTTTGACGATTATAGAGTTAATAGCTGATGTGCATCAATGCTTCACAATTCTTCAAATAAATATTAATTGTTAAAAAGATTCTCTGATGATTTTTTTCTACAATGAATAATGCCCATAAAAAAATCATCTATTTTTCAATGCCTATATGATTAAAGACGAGTATCTCACGACAAAATAAAAAATAGTATCATTTGAAAATTTTACCAGTTTATTAGTTTGTATTTTTATTTTGAAAGAAAATAATATTTTCTAATTTCTCGTAATTTTCAACTATAATAATATGCCCAGAAAGATGATGAACAATTATTTCTATATATCTCACTCGTATTACCTTGCTTTTATTCTCATCATAAGTCGTTGTGCTGATTAATCATTGTCTGTTCCACGAAACACACAATGCCATGATTGTTTATCTGGATAATACAATATTGTTTCTTTAATATATTTGATAATCTTCATAATAATATAATTACCATTCATTATGATAATGCTTCGGATTCTCTGTTCTGCATCCCAAACAACTACCCGTTGCTATTATATAGAAATATTAAAGTGATTTTTAGAGAATTAATAACATCCAAGTGTTAATATATATATATATGTATATTTAGTATTTCTTGGTTGAAATTAGCATACAGGAAAATGAGTCATTTGTTAAGTATGAATTAAATTCAAACTTTATTCTGAAAGGAATCTTGAAAAGATTTTTCTATACTTGGTATATAATATATCTGTTCTGGATTGTTTTCATAAATAAATTTATAATGTACTTTTATCTTAGTAATTAGTACTGTGATATTATGCGCGTTACAGTCAAGAATGTATTTATTGATATTTAAAATATATCACATTCGTATTCTTCATTGAAGAATCATTTTCGTCTATGTTTTTCTATTTTTTTACTTTTTATTTTATTTTTAACATGATTATTATACCGATAAATAATTTGACTAATATAGAAGGAAATTTACATTCTTGTATTGTTTTGCTACTTGGTGACTAAGTATTCATTGCCAATCGCAGAAAAATCGCAGCTAAACAATGCATTCTATCCTCCTTATTCGGTTTCTTTTCCGCTAGAAAGAACAGCCAAAAATCTTTTATCCTTGATGCCTATGTCTTTTCCTTTCTCTTCCGTTCGGTCGTTTCCTCTGCATTTGACATGCAATACAAAGCGGAGATGGAGACCACACGATGTCATTCAAAGTATAGGAGGAAGCAAAAAAAAGAAAAAAAATACAAGATCCTCTTTTTTTTCCTTTCTTGTTTCTCCTTATATTTCCCTTTATCAATGATGCTGGTGTTCATATAACATCAACGTATTTTTCACTATACTCTGCAATCAACATTTCAAGGTTATAAAATGCAAATCGCTCTCTAATTCTTCATAAATAAATTTTGAATCTCGATTTCGCTCAAAGAAAAAAAAAATGCACTATATTTTTATATTCCTTTTATTAATCTTTTTTATATGTTTCACTCAATCGCAAAAATTTACAGGTTAGTCTGTACAACAAAAAAAGAAATGATTTATTATAAATAGATATATAATTATGTATCTTTTTTTCTTTTTGCATTTAGAGGAAAGTCCTTATATAGGTATTCGTTTAATGGATCTTAAACTAAATGCAGTTTGTTATTGTTTTATTTTTTGTTTTTATTTTTTGCTGTTATTTTATACTTCTTAGTGGAAACCTGATATGACAAATAAAATAGAAAAAGTACTCGATTCTGAATTGAAATATACTGATGAGAAAAAAGGTATTGCATGTAAATCAATGTAAGTAATATATATTATTGAAATTTTATTTTCATTTTATTACTTTAGTTATTTTGAACAAGAAAAAAACTATCCAAAACAAGATGGACGTTTTCTTGATTTGAGTATTCAAGGTATATGCATTGATGATGACGATAAAAATCATCATATCGATAAAGATTTAATAACTAGTAAGCATTCAAAAAAAAAATAATAATAATAATAAAAGTTAATTAGATTTATATTATTTAATATATTATATTTTTATAATTCATAGAAGCTATAATACGACGAAAAGATGAAGTTAATGCAGCGATTGGTGCACTTGTTTTTCGTATCGGTAATGTAAAATTATATGAACGTAATCGAAATAAACTTAATCTAATTATTATACCTGTATCAATTGGATTTGTTGTATTCTTATTTGTTCTCACATTTTTCTTACGTCGGATGAGGTTTGTTAAATTATTTTTATTTATTTATTTATTTATTTATTTATATTATATTTGTTTTAAAATAACATCTAGAGCTAAACAAAAACGTAATCATATTATATCAGAATTACAGAAGAAAAAAGAAGCTAGTGCAAAAAAAGTTCAAACAATAGCTAATATTGATCCACATGCAAATGATAAACAACGTTTATTACAACTTGATCCAGCTGTTGTTGGTAATGTATCAGATACAATGGGTAGTCCAAAAGAATTTACTATAGAACAATATTCACCTGTAATTCGTGGCAATGCAATAAATACTAGTGATAATCGTTTTCATAATCGTGATTATCAAGGAACATCATCATCACCATCAGTAATACCTTCAAAAGAAAATCGTACAACATATTTAAATCGTGATGATGAAACACAATTTCAAACACAACGAACATTAAAATCTAGTCGTGAACGTATGCATGTACCATATGAAAATGAATCACATTTTCCACCAACTAATTCACAATATCGTTATGAGCCACAACATTCGAATATGGTTTCTATGCATGAACAACATCCACGTGTTGTTGTTCGATCAATACGAGATGATGGAAACTATTCAACATATCATCAACAACCATATGAAGAATCATCACAAAAATTTGTATCTATACCAGTACAAATTGAACATAGTGGTTCTTACCAACGATTTGTTGCACCTCCTTATCATTCTGATCCTTATTATCCACATACTAATACATAAACATATAGATTTTAATATTAACTTTAAAAGAAATTTTTAGATAGATTTTTATATGTATTCATTATACTAAAAACATATGCAACTAACTACCCTTCCAGCACTAATATTTTAATTAGAAAATAAAATTTTTTCTTCTAATACTTTGTGTTTAAATGCCTGACACAAGTCAAGCTGAATTTACAGTCTAAATGGTTTCCTTTTTTTTGCTTCCATTTATTAGTTTTCAGTCATGTATATAAACCATTTGATGTATTCCTAAAAGTTTGAAATTTGAGAAATGTCATCAAACTAAATGAATAGTAAAGAGTATATTTATTTATAAATCAACAGGTAATTAAGTCATTGACATCCGGTAATCCATCTAATTGTATTTAACATTTGAAATCATTTGAGATTATAAGACTAAATAATTTTATTAATGCATGATTAAAGATAACTAGTATTATAGTTGAAGAATTTATTTGTCAATAAAAAGTGATATATAATTTAAAATGAACATTATGATTTATATTTTATTTTTGTCAAATAATAATATTAATAATTCTCTAGTCATTCTATAGACAAAACTATGAATTTTGATATTATTATGACTATAAATTTGTAGAAATGATTATGATTTGTAATGTTTTTCTTTGAAAACCGAAAACACTCTTTTAGGATATTTTTAATCATAATAGCACAGTACATGTTCAGTAAGTTGATTGATAAATCTTTTGCAATCAATATATCAAGAAATATGAGTATATATATGGTTTCGTTCAAGTGATTTCCCAAGACTCATAGTGACGAACAAATATATAAACAATTATTTTATTTAAAGTTTATTATAATTAATTTGATTTCTGATAATTTTAAAAGTATTCTTAAGGGAAATTGTTTCAAATTTGTCTACTGTTGAAAGGAAATCTATCTTTAGTATTCTGCTGAACCATTGTATATAATGATAAATTCAAACGACTTCGCATATGAAAGAAGTTGTCTGATGAAATCTCTAAGATATTTTTCAGAATTATATCACAAACAGGTCTTTTTTATTTAACAACGAAGCAATAGTATGGAATGACATACGTACAAATAGCAATACTTTCGCGCGGACCAATGTTTTTATACGACTATTATTCTATATTCTATAGTTATGTTTGGTAATAGACAACATTTTGCATAATAGAAATAAAAGGTTATTTATAACAGCTTTACTATTCATTTATTTAATATGATTAATGTCGACGTTTCTCTATTTCACATATTATTGTCAAGACAAAAGTTGAAATTCCAATTTAGAGGGAAAAGTTGAGAATATATGATAGAGAAAAAAAGAAGAACTATTGATTTTCTTTCTTTCTTTCTTTCTTTCCAGTGGAAAGATACATAAACATTACTAACATATGTGTTAACAGTTAAATATGCGCATATTTAACTGTCAACACATATGTTAGTGATGTTTATTTGTAGCAGATAATCTAACATCAATGAATTCTATCTTCAAATCGACAGTTTTTTTAGTGTTCTTGCAATAGCTGTTTCTATCTTAGCTTTGATATAAAGTTCTTATTGCAAACAAGAGTGTGTCCTAAAATATTGAATAGACCGAGATTTTGCAAAAACGCGTATAAACACTCGAAAGTAGTCTTTTGTGGACGTTTAATTGCCTATGGAAAATTGGGTTGCGTTCGTGTAAACATCAAAAAATCCAAGTTTTGAGCGTGAACACGTACAAAGTTTTTTTTTTATCGAATGTATATAGGTGTGTAAATATTCAAAAAGTGTATTCACGCTCATTCTATTTCACACACGTATCAATCACACGAAAGTCTAAATTTAACAGTGTATTTACTGTCATGATTGGAACGATCATTGATAATTATGTTATCGCTTGAAAAATAAATGTTTTGATCGTTTTTTCATACAAATATTTTTGTCTTTTTTTATATTCAAAATTTGAGCTTTTTAACGGTCAAAGTCAGATAATTACGAGCGTATTAAAAATGCTCATATTGAACTCTCAAGTTTTCATACTTTTATATAGTTTTCAACTAACTTTACTTTCTAGGCAAGTGTTTACATGTACGAAATTATATTTTTATTACGTTTAAGTGTAAATAAAAAGAGTCTATTACTTAACTATTTGTTGTTGTATGCTTAGGTGAAATCTTTGGTTTTTTAAACAAGAGGTATACATTAATGAATTTGTATCCCATACTTGCCTCTTTTTCATTCAGATTTTAATGATAGCATGAATATGTGTATGACATGCAATTAAATAATTCAAGCTATAAAAATACCGATGTTGAAAAGACAATTAAATATTTAAACTAAGGGAAAGTTTAATTTTGACTTCGGCTAACACTTATGCATAAGCTTGAAATAAGAAAACTGAAGATCACAGTAGAAAATCAATTGATTCTATATTTGAGAGTATATTATTTTAAAACATTATTTTTTTTAGTTTTAAGCGTGAATAAAGTACTGAATCATTTACCCATCTTGTTGCCTTTATATCGACATAATAAAACAATTTTAGTTCAGCAGAACTATATAAATCGATTACTTGGTCTTGAGGAGCTTAGTTACGTTTGAAAAAAAATTTAGGAGAAAATAAAAGGCAAAATGAACGATTTCTCCATTATGTGCATACAAATTCTTCACTATATCAGTTATTCATTTTTGTATTCCTCTAAGAATAAATGATATGAAAAATAAGTAGACTATTATTGTTTGTCTTGTAGTCTTATTTGTTTTAATATTGTAGATTTATATAAGTACTAAAAATTGTAAAGCAAAATTGTACATACTTAAGCTATCGATCATAGTCAATACTGATTCACATGACTTTATTCTTTCTGTCTACTGTATATTTTATTCCTTTCCCAATTATTTTCCTTCTCTACTACTATATACATGAAAGTTTTTCTCATACACAACTATTCTCATCTTTGACTAAATTTTCTCTTTTACCATTGTTCGTGATAATCAAGGATAGACGACAGGAGAAAAAAAGTGTCTGAGAATAACAGCTCAAGTATAATGCTGACAATTGGCAAAGTCAAGTTTTTGTATTCAGAATGGAACAGGACATCTTTTTTAATTTTGATAGGGTAAGCAGGTGGATGGTTTCACCTCTGATCAAAAGTCTTTTTTATTTCCTCTTTCGTGACACACGATCTAAAACTAATGTGAAAGTATCAGGACAGAAATTTGAACTCTCAACATACCGTTATAGATATAACATCTGTTTTTATCAAAGACCAAGAATATGATACATAAACAACATAATTCACGCCATACAGACATAACATTAATAGAAGTTATCTGATGAAATCATTTTTCTATTTAAAGCAAAGGCATCTATACCATGTTTTTGCACTTTATTCTTGCAATGGATTGTGATAACAACTTTTTTTTCTATATTACATCCATTGGGTATCAACTGAATATCTATTAGACAATGAGGTAGGTAAATAGATAGTAACGTAGTTAGTTAAGTATGCTCTTTAGATAGACACACTGTTAGATAGGTTTATAGTTAAGTTAATAGCTAAAGAGATGCATCTATCTATCTGTGTATGAATTATTGGCATTATGTAGATGACTTACGCGGACAAAAAAATTAATGGAAATGCATAACAGAAAAGGCATGCAAATAGAGAGAAAACAGAGAAGCATGTAAACGCACCGGAAATCAGGACGTTTTCAGATGCTAATCGCGATTCCCGTTTGTGAGTCAGCAACGTTGACAGTAAATAGATATCAAAATGACTAAGAATTTGTAGCGTATAAAATGTCAACAATTTTACCTTGTGTAAGAAGTGATTGTTTTCATATTGCATTTTTTAAAATGTTTTTCGATGACAATCGAAAACCGCGATTAGCACCCGACAACGGTTGAAACTTCTATAGTGTTTTCACGCGTTTTTCCATTTTTATTGTTTGCTTGGATACTAGTGTTTTAATTGGCTTTCATTTGCTAGGAGAAGTATGTTCCACCGATATTCATGTTAATAGACTCCGATGCGTAAATATCATTTAGTGAAACCGTTATATCTTTGCCATCATGTCTTTCACTGACGAGTAGCTCCGTCATCGAACTTGATCTTTCAAAATCTATTACTTATTAATAAACATTTTATATTGGCCCGATAAGAATGTAATCAAAAATCACATGATTGCAGAAAGTGAGAAAGAGTTTTCGTAATTATCACCTTACAACACTGTATCTTATATTGCTCAAGAGAATTTTAATCATCTGGAAAAGAAAAATACTAAATGACTCAAAACTTTATCACATAATCTCAAAATATACCCTTAGAGGTAGGTTCAACTCTTGATCTCGTAATAATTAACAAGTGTTATCATATCAATTAAAGTTCACTGTCCCTAATTTGATAAACAGAAATTGTCAATTATCATCAGAGTCAAGTTTTGAATTATCGAACATCATTACACTAAATCCCTAAATTAATGAATGAGGAATAATTATGACAAGTCGTCAAATTTTGTCTTTTTTCAATTCGTTCCATACAACTATCATTAGCTATATGAAAAAGTAAATTGTCACAGATTAAGAAGTAATAAACGTGATAATCGATCTGTCGTGAAGAACTGACTACAATCGCCATTGTCTTCGGAATATTTTCAAAGTCTTTCTTGCTAATAAAATAATGAAAAATGAGCGGATATGAAATTTTATGAATTTCAAGAAATGTTTTTCCGTCATGGCTGTTACACTCTTGTTGATATCCTTACTCCCACGTAAGATGAGTGCATCTCTTTTGATCTTAACAGTAGTTCTTCTCGAATGAATATATTTTACTATCGTGTCTGAGAATCATCAACAGACTAGTTTTCTGTAGAAACAATCAATATCTAGTTTTAATATAAACTGAGTGTTTTATACTAAGCTATATTTTACAAACGTTGAGAACAGATTTATTGCCATATAGAATACATAGACTATAAATTCAATATTTAAATTGCAATAACATTCCACAGAATTCGTCTTT